TGTTGCACACAGCCGACACCCCTCGGTGTCACTGAGGGTCAGCGCTCAGACGGCCCCTCTTCACCACTCTTGGGGATGGCTTCCCAGGAAGCATCGTAGCAAACAGGGAGGCAGGTATTCCTGTAGCTGCTTGCTTTCTGTCTCCTCCCCTTCTGAAAGATAACATTAACTCTCACTAGGGAACATTTATTCACTACCCATCTGTTTGTCCTACTGTGGTGGCTTGTGTGTTGCTATGATGCTGGAAGCTAGGCCACTGGTATTTCAAATACCGGCAGGGTCACCTGTGGTGGACAGATTTCAGCAGAACTTCCAGACTAGATAGACTAGGAAGAAAGGTCTGGCGATCTACTTCTGAAAACTAGCCAATGAAAACCCTCTATGTGATCTCTATGGATCACAACAGAATACTGTCCAACACAGTGCTGGAAGATAAGCCCCCTAGGTTTGAAGGCACTACTCAAACATGCTAATGATCATAGAGATGGCAGCGGACCAGGTAACATTCAGTTCTATTATGCATAAGGTCACCGTGAGTCAGAGCCAACAAATCCCATACACATCAGTCCCATTTTTCTCCCTGAAACCATGTCCGAAGTAATAAAAATAGTTAAAACAACAAGAAAAGTTAAGACAGTAGAGTCCTAATAAACTTGTACGACAAAACACTCCCAGTAGTTCAGGCCATAATCCATACAACTCACAAAACATACCAACAGTCAAAAGGGCATTTAAGGAAAGTTCCACTTTATTACTATTCAAATAAATAGCAATTACTTTTCCTTTAAAATAGCCAAAAAAAAAATTTAATTTATAAGACCTGGTTTGGACGGCCGTGCGTTGCAATGAGCACTCTCCTCCACTACAAACCAAGTATAAACTACACCAAGGTCATTGAAAGAAGTTTGTCAATTTGTATCCAGAACCTTGACAACATTCTTACGCTTCGACCGAACAACTCCATTTACAGAAATTTCTCACGAGAACACAGCAGATACACTCGTGAGCTATCTCACTGCTGCACTATTTAAAAAAGAAAACCATGCCTCACCGTAGGGTAAGACTAATTTATTAGACCAGTTAAGTCTATTTAGTAACAATAAATGTTATTTACTAAATTTATTGAATAAACATTTAAAATTACATAAATAAAATGTATTTCAAATATTCAGTATTATTTATTAAATGTATTAAATAAATTATTATTTAACAATAATAAGTCTATTTAACAGACCAAATAAATATAATGAAAGATCATTGCAGTCATTCAAAACCAGATTTTCAAAAGAATTTTCCTGACATAAGGAAAGACTTGTATTAATTGGGATAGGCTTGGCTGCTAACCAAAAGGCGGGCTGTTCAAATTCACCCAGCGGCTGTGCAAGAGAAAGACCTGGCGATCTCCTTCTGTAAAGACTACCGTCAAGCAAACCCTAGGGGTGGTTCTACTCTGTAACACATGGGGTGGTTAGGAGTTTGAATCGACTCATTGCAACTAACAACAGCGAAAACAGGTTATACTGCAGTAACGATTTCAAAATCTCAGTAGTTCAGCGTAACAGAAATGTTTTTCTTGCTCATACTACATGTCCAGGCAGAGATTGGGGAGACTCTCTCCATCCGTTCACTCAGGACCCAAACTGACGAGAGGCTCCACGTGGGGTACTCCACGGCCCTCCCAGTTGCCGTGTGTCTGCGTCTCCTAGAGCTGCGGTAAGAAATTATCCCAGTCGGGGTGGTTTAAACAACGGCAATGTATTCTTTCACAGTTCTGGAGGCCAGAGTCCAAAATCAAGGCGCCGGCAGGGCTAGGCTTCCTCTGAAGGTTCGGGGGATGGGGGTGGGAGTGGGCGGCGGGTGGAATACTTGTCTTTTCCAGCTTCTGGTGCCTCCGGGATTTCCTTGCTTGTGGCAGCAATAACGCCAATCCTTGCTGCCATCTTCACGTGACCGTCTTCTCTCTGTCTCCCTGTGTCCGCTCCTCTTCTTTCTCTTATAAAGACAGTCATGGTTAAAAAAAAAAAAAAAAAA